TTGATTTATTTTTCTATATGTATGGATTTTGGAATAAATTTTTAGAACATGATTTTTTTTTTGAAAAATAGATTTAGATAAGTTTTAAATTATAGTGGCATAATATATATATATATATATATATATATATATAATTTGTCTAATATATATTTTTAGATTAAAAGTGTATTTCAAATATTTTTTTATTTTTTAGAAAAAATTAATTAATTAATAGTTGAAAGTTAAATGTGAAAAAAAAAAGATGGTCGCTATCCGCGTGAGGCCTATATGCAAAGACTAGCCATGAATAACATTAAAAAAAAAAAAAATCTAAGAAGGGGGAAAAAAGAATTCACATGTTTTATTAATTTGTTTCTTCTTTATATAATCAAAATTAACCAAATTCAAATTTGTAATGATTTTTATTTTAGTCTATTAACTTCAAATTTAGTTAATAGATTCTTTGCAAGTTAACGTTTTTTTTAGTATTTTTTGTTTTAGACTAAAAACTCGAACTCACTTAGTATAGTTATGATTTATAAAAAAATATTGAATCTTTGTTTTTTTAGAAATTAACTATGCAACTACTATTACACCGAGCATTTACTATTTATTTGTTTATTTTTGAATATTTTAAATTAAATAATTAAAATAATTTTTTGGCTTCACCACTTAATGATTCGATTAATATAGTTTTTTATTTAAATATTATTCATTCTTTTGTAAATAAATATATAAAAATTAAATTCACATCTTTTCAAAAATCGATATTCTCATTAACATTAAATGAAAAAATTATTTATTCAATTCTATGTAAGCTTTTAATAATTGTTATTTATGTTTTTCCATACAATCTTATGAAATACCAAAGCTTTTTTAAAAAACTTTATTCAATTTCCTTTTTAGTTAACAATCCATGGATTAACAAGGATAAATCATTTTTCGATAGGAAAAATTATAAAAAATACAAATAAGAAATAGTTAAATACAAATTTTTTTATTAAAAAATTATAACTAAATTTTTTCACCTTTGATTTTATATATTTTTATAGATTCACACCATAAAACAGATTATCAAACTAAAATGATTTTTCTAAATGATTTAATATATTTTATTCAACCGAGTAACGTAGTGCGGGTAAAAAAATTAGTTCTATTTCTAATCTATAAAGCCCATTTCGCAGGATGAGTAAAAATTGAAAAAACTCTATAAAATTAAAATAATTTCATGAATAGTTTAGTATTTAATAAATGAAATATTTTTACTCTAAAAAAATTTAGCTGGAAGAATGGCCCTATTTGCCTAGCTATCACATACCTATTGAGTGGATCATCAAACTGGATCACGGTGAGGCTAATTATCAAAACCGAAATGGGTGGAGGACTAAATTAATAGATGGGAATCAAATTGGGACATGCATGATAGTTTGGGGACAAATTTATCCCTTTTCCCACATTTTCTTGAGTCTAGGGGTGGTTTGTGTACAGATGAAAAAGGTGATGGGGTTTACCTCCTTCCATTAGTTTGTTACCAATTGGCTTTTCGCCCAGATCTGCGGATAAGTTAAACATATTTAATTCAATTTGATAAATTTTTTTAATATATATTATGCTATAAATCAATAAAAATATATTAAATTAAAAATAAAATATCTTTTAATTTTATAATTTTTAATCAAAATTTTGTATCTATTTTTTATTTTTTAATAAATCATATAGTTAAAAAAATATATATAATTTGTTCTTTTTTATGTATCTATTTTTAAATAAAAACTTATAATAATCTAAATATAAAAATTAAAAAAAATATTTTAATACTTTTTATAACATTATATTAAATAAATAAAGCAACAATTAATATAAAACTTGTATGAAAATTAACAAATAATTTTTTTTATTCTTGTTTAATGCCGATGATAAGATTCTTTTTTAGAATATATAAATTTGATTTATACGTATTTATTTATAAAATAATGAATAATGTTAATATAAAATATTATATATGAATTATTAGGCAGTTTTTCTAAAACATTATTTCAATTATTTTATTTGAAACAAATTAAAATATAAAAAAATAATAGCAAATGACCGATGTTTATGAGTGTAGATACATTATACATAGTTAATTTCTAATAAAATCAATAAATCTAATACGTATTTTTTTTATACATAATTACCGTATCCATTGGGTTAGAGCATGCAACATAAATCATTTTGTTTTAAATTTAAGTTGTAAAAAATATATTGAACTCAATTGAGTATAACAAAAAAAAAATTATAATATGGGTTTCTATGAAATTTGATTATATAAAAAATAAGCAACTAAAAACAACTACAAAAAAAAAAAAAAAAACTTATTCAAAAATCCATAAATAAGAGAAAATAAATTATATTTATTAACAACTAAAATTACATAAAAAAAGAAGAATAAAAACTTAATTTGATGAGATTTTTTATAAGAAACGGCAAAATGAAAAAATCAATTTTAAATAATAAAAGTAATATAATTCGATATATATATATATATATATATTTAAAAATATATCATATATATTTCATAATCGTTAGTTTTTGTGAAAAAATAATAATTGATTTTTCATAATTTTCACAATCAATTCAGTAATAAAAAAACATAAATTAATAAAAAAACCAAAAAAAAAAAGAAGAAGAGAAAAAGACAATGATTGATTTTTCATAATTTTTACGTCCAATTCAATAATAAAAAAATATAAATTAATGGAAAAAAAAAAAAAAAGAAACCAAAGAAAGAAAAACAAAACGAAAAAAAGAGAGGAGGCTAGCCTGCTACTTGCCTTGGGCCTACAAAAGGGGGCCACTGTAGTAGTCTTATGCAGTAGCCAAATGAATGAAACAGTCTAGGGATAAAATTTTTATTTTAAAACTTCAATGATTAATATGAAATATGAGATAAATTTCTAGTATAAACAATTAAAAACAACTGAAAAATTACAAAAATATCATCCTCATATGTAATATATTGCTATATGACTAAATTAGGTGATGGTTTTCCTGTTCCAACACTGTTCACATACACCTATTGGTACTATGGACTTGGCCTCCATGCACTTTCAGTCGTCCGTCTGTTCTTTGCTCTCTCTCTTTCTCTCTATCGTTGATTTCCTCTCTAAATTGCTCCTTAATCATTTATTATTCCTTGTAGGTACTTTTTAGGAAGAATCAATTGATTATTAATGCCCTTCAATTGTTTGTTTAATTGTTTGGATGACATTTTGTCCTCCTATTAGGTTACTTTTCTGCCCTCCTTTGTTTGGTCTTTCTTTCCTTGGCTTTTTCTGGCCTTTTCGTCAGTTTCTTCTTTAATCTTATAGAGCATTTAATGCTCTGTCTTGGAGTTTGCTTCTTTCATTTGTTTTTATATTGACATTAAAATATTTTGTCCGTCCTTGCATAATTACTTAGCCAATTTATAAAAGTGTTTATCTTTCGTAAATGATAATTTTTTAATATTTTACGCCTCGATCCTCTAAGTTATTATTTTATATAAAATAATTTTAATTTTAATTAATATTAAAAAAGGTTATTGTAATATTTTGACTGACTAGGTTATTTTTTCATTAATTATTATTTAATCAAAATAATTTTTTCTCATAATTAATGGTTATTTTTTTTATTATTATCAATATTCATTAACTAAAATTAAATATTTTTTTAATATAAATTGATTAAGCACCTCTTTATAATTTGATTTTTTAAAATAAATAATTAATTATATGTATTTTTTATTTATCAAAATAAAAAATTATTTCTAAGATATATTTAAATTCAATTATATATATTAAATTTTAAATTTTTTTTATAATAAGTGTTAGTTAATTTTTATTTTATATTTATATTTTTAAATTATTTAAAATATTAAAATATAGATATAATAGAACTATGCGCGACAACGTGTTGGTATTGAGCTAATATATACTATCTATGAGAGGATAAATAGTAAAAAATACTGTTTGTTTTTCAATATTCTTTTAGTTTTGTTTTTTAATTTTCTTCCATGGTGGATATATAGTAAATTAAAAATCCATGCCGATGCATATTATTTCTCCATTTTGAGTCCTACTCGTGAGTGTTGAAGTTTGGAGCGCAAAGCATATTGACGCCATCCGATAGAGAAAGAGTTGTCGCTGAAGCAAGTATCCAAATTATTGCTTAGCTTCTTTCAAGGTATCTATATATCTCACCAGGCCTTTTCCGGCTTATGAGTTTTTGAGTTTCTAATTGAGTTAGAACTGTATAAATTATCTGATGCAAAACATTAAACAAGAAAAAAAAGTGCACCTGGGCTTGCTTTTATATCACCCCACCTCGTGTTTTGTAGTTGCTAGAAGTTTTTGATATTGCTCACTTGGTGTTCGATAGAATGCCTCTTAGGAATTGTTTCAAAAAACTCTTCTGTAGAGTTGTAAAAGCATTCCTGCTGGCTATTTTAATTTATAGTGATACAAAATGCAAGTGTTGGAACCATTATGTGTCTTTGTTGTGCCAAACTTGTTTCAAGTTGGTTCTTGTTGGCTCATTGAAGTCCAAAGTTGGCCTATAAAGTCTTTATTTTAGTGCTTAGTTAACATTCCAGGAGTTTAGCAATATTTATTCGTTATTAAATGAGACATACGGGAGCTCAACCTTTACCAACATAACAAAATGAGGCCTTGAAGGAAGGTGCATTGCCTTTTTACTTTATTTTATTTTTTGCACAAGTGGAACCACTATTAGTTTTTCTTTTTAAATTGGTTTCTTGCAATCATAACTAGACAATTTCTTATGCTAATGATTATTGGAAAATTTATTATCACAGTCTCTCTAAACATCATATTGTTTAACTCATCCCAGATTGTTGGTTTTAAGTTGAGGCTGATAGTTACTAATTCGCAGGTGATGGAGTGATGAACACTCTTTGTCCTGATTTTTTCACATGGAGGGAAGCCAAGGTACTGTCACTCACAGATTTTCAAAATTTGTTATGATGGGTTTCTCTGATAGACATGAGGAGTGCCATTATTTTCTTTGGATATTCTTTTCCTCACTTTTCTTGTCATGCCTGCATGGGTTTTCCTCCAAGTCGTTTACCGGTACTTGTTGGAAGATATTTGAGCGAAAGGCTTTATTGCTCAAGCTCATCCAATACCAGACCTTTTCCCGACTATTCTCCAAAAAAGCCCACCATTATAGACACTCAACTTGTGCATCAAATCTCAAATGCAATAAAGTTGCGTCGCTCTGAGCCCCTCTGCCACATTCTAAAGCCGTATGAATCCAAGTTTAGGTCTGACCACCTAATTTGGGTTCTCATGAACATCAGACATGATTATAAATTGGTTTTAGATTTCTTTGATTGGGCACGCCTGCGCAGAGACCCAAACCTTGAAGCCCATTGCATAATTGTTCAGATTGCAGTGGCTTCAAAGGATCTAAAATTGGCTCATGATCTAATTTGTGATTTTTGGGCAAAACCCAATTTGGATATTAGTCATTCTTTATCTCATTTTGTTGAGCGGTTGATATACACTTACAAGGAATGGGGTTCAGATCCCCATGTATTCGATGTATTCTTTCAAGTCCTGGTTGAGGGTGGGATGCTTGATGAAGCAAGAAACTTTTTTGACAAGTTATTGAATTATGGAGTGGTTATTTCTACAGATTCTTGTAACTTATATCTCACACGCCTATCAGACAGTTTTGATAGGCTTCGGATGTCAATAAAGATTTTCAATGAATTTCCTCAGGCAGGTGTCCATTGGAATACTACATCATGCAACATCATTATTAATTCTCTTTGTCGATTAGGAAGAGTTAAAGAAGCCCATCGTTTGCTTCTGCAAATGAATTTTAGAGGTGATGCTCCTGATGTTGTAAGTTATAGTACTGTGATCAATGGGTATTGCCTTGCTGGGGAGCTGCTAAAGGTGCTGAAGCTTGTCCAAGAAATGCGAATGAAGGGATTGAAGCCAAACTCATATACCTACAACAGTATAATCCTTCTTCTGTGTAAGAGTGGTAAAGTTGATGGTGCTGAGAAGTTCTTGAGGGAGATGATGGACCAAGGAATAATTCCTGACACAGTGGTCTACACAACTCTAATTGATGGTTTCTGCAAGTTAGGGAATATCCAAGCTGCATTTAAGTTGTTTGATGAAATGGAGGAGCAGAAAATCGTTCCTGATTTTATAGCATATACTGCTATTATTTGTGGGCTTTGTCAATGTGGAAAGATGATGGAAGCAGATAAAGTCTTTAACGAAATGTTTAGCAGAGGATTGGAACCGGATGAAGTTACATATACAACACTTATTGATGGCTACTGCAAGTCAGGGGAGATGAAGAAGGCCTTTTCACTTCACAACCAGATGGTCCAAAGTGGGCTGACTCCAAACGTTGTCACATACACTGCACTTGCTGATGGCCTTTGTAAGCTTGGGCAGATAGATACAGCAAACGAGCTGCTTCATGAAATGTGCAGAAAGGGTCTTCAATTGAATATCTGCACTTATAACTCACTTGTTAATGGCCTTTGTAAATCAGGAAACATAGGGCAGGCAGTAAAGCTGATGGAAGAAATGGAAATGGCCGGGATGCATCCTGATACCATTACTTTTACCACTTTAATGGATTCTTATTGTAAGACAGGGGAGATGGTTAAGGCTCACAAGCTTCTGCAGGAGATGCTGGATAGAGGACTTCAACCCACTGTTGTTACATTCAATGTGCTCATGAATGGCTTTTGTTTGTCAGGAATGCTGGAAGATGGTGAGAGGCTTCTAGGATGGATGTTGGACAAGGGTATAATGCCAAATACCACAACCTACAATTCTCTTATGAAGCAATACTGCATTAAAAATAATATGCGTGGCACCACAGAGATTTATAGGGGGATGTGTGCACGAGGAGTGATGCCTGATAGCAACACCTATAATATTTTGATAAAAGGGCATTGTAAAGCAAGGAATATGAAAGAAGCATGGTTTTTGCACAAAGAAATGGTTGAGAAGGGGTTTAATCTTACAGCTAGTTCTTACATATCTCTCATTAAAGGTTTTTTCAAGAGGAAAAAAATTTTAGAGGCTAGAGAGCTATTTGAAGAGATGAGAAGAGAAGGGATGGCTGCTGATGCAGAAATATACAACTTTTTTTTGGATATCAACTATGAAGAAGGGAACATGGAAATCGCACTTGAGCTCTGTGATGAAGCAATAGAGAACTTTCTTCTGAACAGAGTCAAGAACAAAAAGCAATAGTTTTGCATATTCTGCAAGATTTTTAAGATCAACACAGAGAGTCCTAACTCCTTACAGGCCTGGCATGATGGGATTGACTCGTTCTTGCAATTTATTTTCGAAATCACGGTAATGATCCTCTTTTTTCTTATGTGCTTAATATGCTGTATGGTATTTATCTCTTGCAAGTTGTCAATGCTTGTTTTCTGTTTGGATGCTGTGATTTGGATATATTTGAACATGGTAACATCGTGGTGACTTCTATATGCATTGAACAAATATATAACTGATGGTAGGAATAATCAACTGTCACTAGTCATGCTTTCCTCAGCTTGGATTGAATTAAAACTTGAGGTATTGAGAGAGCAGCCCAGAACAAAAACTCGATAGGATATGTATGCTAACGCATGACCATATGCATGCAAATATTTGCTAGTACATGCATCGTAGTTCGATGATTGGTTTACTGACATGGATGTAACCTAATATACGAAATTTGTGGAAACCTAATTACAAAGAGATCTACTGATCCTAACAGAAAGAAGGTCCTTCGATTTTTTAGGCAGTTGTTTAAGCGTGTTAAACCAAATCAATTATTGCTTTCGATTTAAACAGGCTTTTGGGTAACCCTTAAATCAGACAAATGAGTTTTAGCTACCGAAACAGTAAATTTGATGTTTTATTGCAAAATACATCTGCATGGCATTGCGAACTTCTATCCAGAACGTCATGTTTATTCTGTGACATTATTAATAAGTTTCGTTTACTTCCGTCAAAAAAAAGTAATAATAATTTTCCTTCACTAAGTTGAATGAGTAAATTATCATGTTGATGATGCTAAAAAGTATTTAGCATTTGAAGTATCTTTTAATTTTCCATTTTTGTGGTGACTAATCCTTTCTAGTTTCTACTGCTCAGGCAGCCAGCATACACGTGATGATGTGGTACCTCGTACTGTCGTTATTTTACGAGGAATGAGGGGCATGTCCTCTCTCGAAGCAGTTGCTTTTGTAGATCATTCTTCAGAATGGTCAGCGGTTCACCACACACATAATGAAAGTTCTACATTTGCAACCCTTTCCCTCAACAACTGGTCAGATAATTGCTCTATTAAACCATGTTTTTCCTGTTGGTTGACGACTGTTTTGTCTATTGGGAAAAGGAAAAACGAAAAAAGAGAGGAGGAACTGAAGTAGCGTATGCAAAGTCACACCGACGATACAGTGGAGGCTTGAATAGCTGACAAGACGTGTCCCAATGGAAATGGCCCCATCCCTTTTTGAATGTTTTCGGCTTTGCATGCCATATGTTTCGTATACAAAACTGTGTAATGAAATTTCTCTTGTACCAAAACGGAGCCCCATTAGTCAATAGGCAGTGATTCTACTTTCAAGTACAGTTCAATGGACGATGAAAAGAACCTCAAGCATTATTTCCATATCTGGATCACCGTTCATAGGTAAAAGTATGTATTTAACACTTAATGATTGCATTGTCATCAGACCGACCTGGACATAGAGCCCGGCAAGTAAGCTGGGTCAGTGGGTCCCTGGTTCAACCGCAATTATATGTGTAGTCCGAATAACAACTTACATGTCGGGTTTCCCTATATAAATACAGACAACAATGACGAGTATAACAAGAAATGAATTAAAATAAAACACGTACAAGCTTCCTATTATTTTATGTATTACTGAGAATTTTGTCAAAGTTCCAACGGAATGAAAAGGGATTTTTATCAGGTTTTAACAAGTAACAAAGGACCCTTCCAGGTGGGTTATATCAAAGATCGGGCCGGGTCAACTGGTTCTTTCCGGGTCATTTGCTTTGGGCTGTTTTTGTATAAAACTGTACCTGATGGATACCTGGTTCAGGTTGGGTCTGATAACAGTGGACCATCGTATGTACAGATCTTCTATTCTGGTTACGCTAATTTGATTTTGAGCCACAAGAGTCACCAACTCCCCTTCGACGCTGTTCTGTCCATCTTCAAGAAATTACAATTAATGAGGCAATAATTTTGGTCATTAATTGTGACCCTTACCCTCTTGCGTCGGGCAGCCTTTTTCACGTAAACTGTCATGATCTAGCTTTTCATCAACTGCGTAATGTCAAAAGTCAAATTACGTGGTGAGTTCCTCACCAATGGATGATGATGATTTTCCCATTCCCAGTGCGAAAATGGTAATGTCGAACAGTTCTTTTAGGTGATGAAATCTTCTCCTAATTGAACGGAGTCTTATTAGGAAAACATCATCATCTAATCCCGCAACCTACCATATTTGTTCACGTTACACCAATCCCAAATAAATGCTACAACCACAAGTTTCTTCCATATTTATTTAAACACAGGCGCAGGCAAGGTGCAAAAAGAAAACCAATCTCTTCGTTCGGCTTGATACTACCAGTCATGGCTAACAGTGATGTGAAGCTTATAGGGGCATGGCCAAGCCCTTTTGTAATGAGGCCAAGAATTGCCCTCAATATTAAATCCGTGGAGTATGAGTTTCTTGAGGAAAAACTGGGATCCAAAAGCCAGCTTCTTCTTGAATCAAACCCTGTTCATAAGAAAATCCCAGTTCTGATTCATGATGGCAAGCCCATTTGTGAGTCTCTTGTCATAGTGGAGTACATTGATGAGGTTTGGTCTTCTGGCCCTTCCATCCTCCCCTCTGATCCTTATGACCGTGCCATTGCTCGCTTTTGGGCTGCCTATATCGATGAGAAGGTACCTCCTTCATCTCTCTATCTTTCAATTTCTAGATTCATTCCTTTTTGCCAGATTGTGATTATTATTCTTGAAGTTTTCACTTTAGATCCAAGATCAGGCATGCATGAAAGAATGGAACATAGTTTTTACTGCTTTGTTTTAAAAAGGTAATTAAAAGTTTTAAATGAATGTTTGGCAAGCAATTTATGTTCTATTATTTAAATTAAGGAAATGGAAGTTGGTTTCACTTATTAGATTACAAAATTGTCAATAGCATATCTACCTTGAACATGTTATGATTAGTTTTTCACCTGTGTTATGTTGCCGATGGAAATGAACATATAAAATTAATTTGGATTGAAGATTTGCACTATACTTCGAATCCATCAAAATATAAAAATTATTTTTTACTAAAATTTTACATTTGACTAATTACTCGTTATATTTTTTCAAAACTTTTTACAAAAAAATGATTTATTTTTATTAATTTGATTATTAACTAAAAACTTTTGATAATCTAAAAATAAAATCTAAAACTCCATAGATTTATAACAAAAAATTTATTTTGTAAATTATTTTTTTCTAAAAAAATCCAATACAAATTCTCTAAAAAATATTTTAGTATTTAGAGTATATATATATCATTTAAAAATTTTAAGAGTTCATCATATAAAATTATATAAATTTATTTTTTTAAAATAATCATGTTGTAAATTTTTATTTAAAAATCCATCTATAGAGAATAATAAATCATGTTTATCAATAAATAATATTTTAAAAAAATAAAAATTAATTTGATGAATATCTTAATAAGAAATGAGAAGTTGAAGAAATAAATTTTGAACAACAACAATAATATAATCTAAAATATATGTTTATTTTAAAATATAAAAACATATTATATAGATACATTTTTTATGCAGTAGATGTGAATATAGTGATAAATATATTTATTTCATATAGTAGATGTAAATATAGTGATAGATAAATTATAAATCAATCCCTTTTGTTTTGAGAAATGAATTAATTAATCCTTTTGATTTTAAAAAATAATTATTTAATCTTTTTAGCTAGGCTAATTTTTTTTTATTTTCAAAATTTTTTTCTTTTTTCATCAATCTTTCTTCATATTTTTATCTATTTTTTATTTATTTTATTTCTTAAAAGAAGTCAAGAAAATTGAAAAATAGTAAAAAGGATAAAAATTCATTTTTGAAATCAAATGGACTAATTAATTCGTTTTCCTATGAAAGGGGACTAATTTATAATTTATCCTTGAAGCTCCTCTCCTCTCATAGAAATAAGGGGGGAAAAAATGCAATGACTGGAGCATTAAATGCTTCATTAAAAAAAAAAAAAAAGGAAATGACCAAAAAAAGGCTAAAAGAAAAGTGAAAAAAGAGAGTAAATTAAGGGCAAATGTGGATTTTTATAAATCTATTTAATGGCATTGAGAGTAATTAAAAGCAAAAAGGAGCGTCATTTATAATGTAAAGAAAAAAAGAAGAAGTGAAATGATGAAAAAAAGATAGGAAAGAAAATTAAAAAGACAATCAGTTAAGGGTAAAATAGAGGTTGTTCACTGCACAAAAGGCCAAGAAAAAAAAAAAAGTTTATTGGGTGAGAGTAAACAGTTTAGCAATACTGAAATAAACATACCTTTTATTTGCTTTTGTAATATTTCTAGTATTTTTATTTTGCATAATGAAACTTCTTATATTGAAGCATGTAAATACTATAATTTTTCTTCAATATACCTATATAACAATGAACATTTTATCTTACATGATATATATAAAAAATTAATTTTCATAGGGCCTTTAAATTGAAATAAATAGAAGTATACAAAATATATTAAATTAATAGTGCATTTTAAATTTAAAATAATAGTGACAAATTTTTATTGTTTATTAATCTTACTACTAAAAATCTTACACTTACGTTTATGAGAGCTTTGTGATCATTTAAATTCAAATAAAGAAAGATGAATTTATTCACAACAATGCAACCTTGCCTATTCACCGACTTTGAGATTTTAACTCATCAAGAGTTGTCTCTTGATGTCTCTCTCTCCATGTTCACATTGAATATACGCAGTGGTTTCCTGCGATGAGAAACATTACAGCAGCTAAAGAAGGGGAGTCACGAAAGGCGTTGATAGAGCAAGCAGGAGAAGGGATGGTGCTGCTGGAGGATGCATTTGGCAAGTGTAGCAAAGGGAAGGGTTTCTTTGGAGGAGATCAAATTGGGTACCTTGACATTGCATTTGGTTCCTTCTTGGGGTGGCTGAGAGCCATAGAGAAGTTGAATGGAGTGGAGCTGCTTGATGAAACTAAGACTCCTGGCCTGTTGAAATGGGCACAACGTTTTTCTTCTCATCCTCCTGTGAAGAATGTCCTTCCAGAGACAGACAAGCTTGTTGAGTTTGCCAAGGTTTTGGCCAAATACAAAGCTGCCGAGTCGACCTCCTAAATAACCATTATTGTCTTACGGTCATTCGAACTGCTAGAAATTAAGGTTTAGAAATGGTAACACCTAGAGATCAAACAATTACTGTGGACAAATAAATTTAGATTGCTTGCAAATGAACAATGATGGCCGACACTGGTGATTTTTTGCCTGTTAATCTATGGTCTTCCTTCTCTCCTATTCATTAACTTTCGCTTATGAATTTTTTATTTTATTTTTATTTTTAGTTACATTTGCTTATGAAATGTTGTGCTTCTGGAGAGGCAATCATCTATTAATCCAGCAATAAAATCAAAAGCCAAAACTAGCTTGTTTAATTCATCATAAACATTGTATATCTCTCTGGATGAAAATTGGTGTTTTGGTTCAAGTACAGAAAATTGAAACTCTAAAAAATGCGATGATTCTTCTTACTAATTTCATGATTTATGTATGTTCATAGATTTTTTTTTTTTAATATTTAAGGTTGATGTTAGTCCCATTCTATTTTTAGTACTTAAATAGGATAAAATACTTCTTATTATATATTTTTACAAAAGGTATTGTTAAATTTACCAACTAAATTGTTAATTGTTTTTGTCTCAAAGATATTGTCTTCTCCTTTCTATTTATATCTATCTCAAAATCATTGTCTAATCAAAACTTTAAATATTTTACTTTCTTAAAATATTCCTAATCAATTCATTTTTCATTTCTTATTTTTTACTAACTAGAAAACCAATATTTTTTAAATTTTTTTTAACATAAAAAATTTAAAAGAACTTTTTATTACTTCGAAATTTAGAATTCATTGATGATTTTAAAAGTACTTAATAATTTTCATGTCTTTTTAAAATATTTTGAAATTTAAATTTGGCAAGATAGAAGAGTATTTTAGGAAAATAAAGATAAACAAGATTGATATGTCATAATAATTAATTTTTAAAAAAATTATGTGAAAAGTCAAAGAAAACTAACATTTTAGGACAAAAAAAATATTTTTACAACTTTTTTAGACAATTATCAAAACACCATCTATCAATATTTGTTATATAATAATTATTAATGGAGGGTGTACTGGTGATTATATGAAGAAAAATTAATAAAAATAACAATTTAATTTGTAAATTTAGCATATCCTTCCACAGATTATGATAATTAGATTTTTGACAGCTATCTATTCCCACAATTTACCATATATTTTCACACCACACCAACCTCAAATAACTACTACAAACATATCATCCATAATTTTCTTCTTTAAACACTGGCAAAGTGCTAGGAAAAGGGGGAAAAAAATCATTTTGTTTAGCTTGATATTCTTGATCATGGCTAAGAGTGATGTGAAGCTTATAGGGTTATGGCCTAGCCCTTTTGTGATGAGGCCAAGAATTGCCCTTAATATCAAATCAAAAGCAAGCTTCTTCTTGAATCAAACTCTGTTCATAACAAAATTCCAATCCTGATTCATGATGGCAAGCCCATTTGTGAGTCTCTTGTCACAGTGGAGTACATTGATGCGGTTTGGTCTTCTGGCCCTTCTGTCGTCCCCTCTGATCCTTATGACCGTGCCGTTGCTCGCTTTTGGGCTGCCTATCTCGATGAGAAGGTACTTCCCTCGTCTCCATCTTTCCATTTCTAGATATGGTTTTCGGTTTCAAAAAACATAAAAAAAAAAAAAAAAAAAAAAAAGGCAATGGGCTGCCAATTGAAAACCTACTTTGGTTTCTGGCTTTTACTGTTTTGTTTTAAATTAAAGTAATTATAAATTTTAAATGAGCGTTCTGCAAACAATGTTATGGTCTGTGGATTAATTTTTTGATAATAAATTTTATTACATTATGTTACGATTCGATAATTTCAAATATTCAGTATCAAATTACGTAATTTAAATCATAAATTATTGATTTTTTTTTATCAAAATTGATCAAATTTCTCTAATTATAGTTATATGTAATGGTCAAATGTGTTGATCGTTACTTAAAATGACAAAACGACATCGTTTTGACATTCCGTTGTTAATTATATTTTTTTAATATTTTAAAATATTTTTAACTCTCTAATCTTAAACTTTTTTAAAAACTTTTTTCTTATGAAATATTATAAACATTTTATAAATTATATAAAAGAACATTTTATAAATACTTTTAACCTTCCTAATTTTGAATTTTTTTTAATAAAATATTATAAATATTTTATAAAAAAAGGTTTTTTTTATAATTTATAAAATTAGGGGAATCGACCCTTAATTATGCTCATTTTAATTTATAAAAATATTTTTTAAAGGATTGAAATTGTTTATTGTTAATTATGTTTTTTTACGAGCATATTTTATAAAATGTTTATAATGTCCAATGAGCATTAAAAAATTTATAATACAAACTATAATATTTTATAAATTAAAATGAGCATAATTAAGGGTTTACATCGCCCAATTTTATAAATTATAAAAAAATATATTTTTTTATAAAATATTTATAATATGTTATAAAAAAAAGTTTTAAAAAAGTTCAAAATTATGGGGTGAAAAATATTTATAAATTATATTTTTATATACTTTATAATATTTTATAAGAAATTTTTTTTAAAAAGGTTCAAGATTAGGTGAGTTAAAAATATTTTTAAAAAATTTTAAAAGAAAACATAATGAATAGCAGAATGTCAAAACGATGTCGTTTTAGCATTTCAAATAACAATCAATCAAATTGACCGTTACATATGACGACAATTAAGAAAATTAGATCAATTTTGCCCAAAGAGCAATAGTTTGAGATTCAAATTATGAAATTTGATATTAAAAATAAAAAATTACGAAATCGTAGTAGAATGGAGATAAATTTTATCATCTAACCTTTTAAGAAGTGAAAGATAATTCTACTTATTCTTTCAAAGTTATGAAAAGTGGCCAATGAAGAATGCGTCCAAAAGGACACAAGCCCAGGGAAAGTGAGTAGCTTTAGATGAAAGTATGCTTATTTTTTGAAAAATGATAAAAATAGTCTTAAAGTTTTTGTAATTTAAAAAAATCAGACTATTTTTTTTTAATAAACATAGTTTCATATTTATTATAATATTTTGAGCATTATTATTTTACATACTCAAAATCTTCTAAAAATTATAAATACCATAATTGTTATTTAAAACAAATTAATAGTATTTATTTTTCATATAAATGTTTTAATGAAAATAATAATGAATATTTTATTTTGTTATATATTGTTAATGACATGAACATATAAATAAACTATTTTTTATATAATTTTAAAATTGAAATAAATACGAGTATAAAAAATATATTAAATTAATATGTTATTTCAAATTTAAGGGTCAACTTTTCTATTATTTTAGTTACTAAAAATCTTATAAAAAGGTATATGATTTACAGTCAATTTAATTTAAATACTAAAATAATAATTTTATTCACAATCAAAGCAACCAGCTTATTTATTTATCAACTTTAAGAATTTTGAAAAACATTTTATTTGGCTTTCAAATTTTTTTGCAATCAAGCTGTTTATTTTACGTTTTTGTTACTTGAAAACAAAAGCAAACAATTTGAAAACTACAACAGAAACCTGAAACCATAAATCATACTTTAACAAAAATGGTCTTCAAAGTTGCAACCGAGTTTCACTTATTTGAAAACATAATTATTAAATTAAACAAGCAAGTTTCAACTTTTATATTTTCAAAGCTTTGAAAACGGAAAAACAAAAAATCCTCGATGATATCAATGCATTATCATGATAGGCAAAACAATATTTTAGAGACTCTTTCTTAAAACAAATAAATGTTAAACATTATTTAAATTTTATTTTTCTTGCTTTCCGAGATGCAAAATCTCTAATTAAATTTTTGTATTCAAGTTTACAAAGTAAATCTTTTTCAATTGATAATATAGCCAAATTACTTAATCTTTCTTGTGACATAGTTGAACGTAAATAAGATTTTATTAATTTTAATTTTGAAAAGCTTCTTTCAACCGAAGCTACGAGTAATAAGGGTAGTTAATAGTATTCTATATGCTATCCATGCATTTGGAAAAGAATTTACCTTTTTTATAAAATTTAGTACGGCAAGTGGCGTTTTCATTTCCATAGTTATAATTTCTTTTAAAACTTTTAATTTTGAAAATAAATCTAAACCATCAAATATCATAAAGCATATCGTGCTTTAGAAAGTTTTCAAGATTTAAACAATTTTTTTCAAAATATCATCATCGAGTGATTTTAATTTTTCTACACTATAAAGAAAATCAAAATTATCTTCATATATTTTAAATTGTTCAAACCCATTTTGAAGAGAGGAAATCGCATGATCAACTAAATATGTAAAATAATTAGTTCTATATGCTATCCATGTATTTAAATTATCTTCTCATTTGTACCACGAAATGCCAAATTATTTTTTGAAAGAGCTTTTACGGTAGCAATAATTCTTAATAATACATTCCTCCAATGCTCTTTCTCTTTATTTATTTTCTCTTATAAATGCTTATCAATTGTTTTGTTTTTAAGCAATCTCATATGACCATCAACCCAAATATTCATATTAATAGCATGTTCATTACTTGTCTCATGACTTTTAAGTTTGGCACTAAGATTTTTCCAATCTCCACACCCTTCATTTGCTAATTGAATATTTGATTTCAAACTAAATAATTTACAACAATAACAAAACACTTTATCTAACTCTTTTGAATATACTAGCCATTCTCTATCATGTTTTTCTCCATTTGGTAATTTTCGAATGTAATGAACTGTAGAAAAATGTCTAGAGTTTTTATCTCTTGGAAAATCTAAAATTTCTCTAATTGGACCTTTCTCAACTAATAAATCAATCAGTTTTGAGTCTAAATTTTTTCATTGTGCCGGATCGTAAATATTTTTAATTATTGTTACATCTTCATCATTAATATTTTCACTTTTATTGATTGAAACATCATCTTCTAAATTTTCATCATATTCTTCATTACTTTTTGGTGAATTTGAATTGTTATCTTCAAATTTTTCTTCACAATTTTCAACTATATTTTCATTTAAATCTTTATCTTGTTCTTCTAGTATTTGAGGTTTAATATTAGTAACAAATCTATCAAGTGTACCTTTTTGGGATTGAATTAGTTCTTCTACCTTTTTTTTTTTTTATGTTTTTCATATCCAGATTCATACTTTTTAGTAGACATTTTATTCAAATAATAAAATTAAAATATAATTATAAAAAAAATAAAAAACTTTGGCACTCGATTATATTTGCTTGCCACACCTAATCAAGTAAACATAGAGAGAATCACTCGAGAAAATAAAAAGAAATTTGAGAAAAAAATAAAATATTATATGATTTATATACATAATTTTATTTGCATAAATTAAAAAATTACCTTCGATTTTTACGCTAAGCTAATTAGAAAAGGTTTTATAACGGATCCCCGATTGTTTGAAGAAAGAAAGGAATATAATAAAAAAATTTAGAGATCTAAAAATTGTTTCACTCACAAATATTTTTCCGAAACTTTTACGTAAGTAAAAGTAGAGGTTGCAGACTTTTAATTTATCTCATTCTTTTAGGGTGTAGATTTAGGGTAAAATTTTAATTGGGGTTCTCCTTTCTATAAGGGCCCTAGGCATAGGCCTTAATGGCCTATGCCTTGAGCCGACTCTGCATATTGAATATATGTAGTTGTTTCCTTCAATGAGAAACATCAAAGAGAACGATTTCTTTGGAGGAGATCAAATTGGGTACCTTCATGACATTGCATTTGGTTCCTTCTGAGGTGGTTGAGAACCACGGAGAAGCTGAATGGAATGAAACCGCTTGATGAAACTAAGACTCTCGGCTCGTTCATCCTACCGTGAAGGATGTCCTTCCGAGACCGACAAGCTTGTTGAGTTTTCCAAGGTTTCAGCCAAATTCTAATTTACCAAGTCGACCTCCTACATAACCAATATCGTCATGTTGTCATTTGCAAGCAATTCTAGGACACCCGGCGATCAAACTATTACAACGGAAAAATAAATTTAGATATTACATGCTAATTGCTATGAACAATGATGAGAGCTTGTTATTTTTCGCACCATTTGCTTGTTAATTTATGGTCTCGGTTATGCCATATTCATCAACTTTCGCTTATGAATTTGTTTATATGGTTACATCGGTTATGAAATGTTGTGTATTGAACGAGCGAGATATTTATTAATCCAAGCAATAAATTTAGCATTTCTAATTCAACATAAACATATTTATTATCTTAATTTATTGATGAACATTGTTGTTTTTTGTCCAAATACAAAACAATGAAAAACACTCGGAAAGAATCCTTTCTTACATTCATGTTTTACTAGAAAAATGTCATTTTTGTTATGAAATAATAAATGTTCATATGAATGTTCATCTATTTTTCATATCCCTACTACTCATGATTCTTAATGTGATTCAATTCATCATTCAATATGAGAAATTTAAAGGGTTATGCAATTGATGTACTTTTAATTATTCATGATTCATTTCAATTCTCTTCTCAATTTTAAAACCTATAAATAGGCTTGATTGTTCATTGGTTGGTGTATAAGTTTTCTAGAGAGAATAAGAAAAACTTTGAAGTTTTTATTACTTGTATTCACATTATAGTGGTTTCATTTTCTTGTAATCTTTTCTTTCAGTTCTCCTATTATTTCTATTTATTTTATAACACATTATTATCACAAAGCTCTAACCAATCGAGATAATAGACCATGAGGTATGTATCTACCAAAAGATTTAATCATTTGTTTCAATCATTGGATTTTTTTCTACACAAGTGCTCTTCCAAAAGATCTAAATTATTTAGATAATTAAGAACTATGTATCTAATTTATCATACACTTTAAATCTAATAATCCATAGAATATACATTTTAAAAACTTAAAAGATTTAATATATAGAATCCAATAATCTAATATATATTATTTGAAATGTTTAAATTTTATGCTTATTTTTATTTAAAATTTTATCATTATATTTTATTTTTATTGCTTAATATTATCATTATATTTTGCATTATAGAAATTTAATGATATCAACCATCACAAAACTTAATTTATGGTCCTTGACATTTTGGGTAAGAATTATTGATCATGAGTGCTTGATATTGAGTTAATATCATCTATTTTTTGTGTCTCGAATATGCTCATGCAGTAACATATCGAGAAAAAGAGTTTAAGAAATATTTTGAATCAATTTCATACTTATTCATGGCTCAATAAAATAAAAAGTCTGTTGATGAAAAAGAATAAATCTCGTCCAATTGGATCTATTTCATTCCTTGAAGTGAATGTGACAATTTATAATAATTTTAAGCATGGATGAAGATGTAGTCATAGCTATGGACATGATCAAAATAATTATCATTTTAATCATGATGATCATAATATTATATCTTACCATCGAAGTAGATAACTATGAAAAAAAAAGGACAAAGAATGAAAATAGATAAAGTCGAGTATTATAAAAATGAATGTTATAGATATGGTATGAATGGATATTGGTCGTGTACACGTCATACACCAAAACCCCTCATTAAGCCTTGTCAAACCTCGTTGAAAAAGAAAAGAGTAAAAAATAGAGGCAAATTTTATATATCAATATAAAAGTAATTGAAAATAATAATTTATTAGCTTTTCTATTTATAAATAAGATGTTTTATATTTTCTTATAATGTTTATTGCATAAAGATAATGATAAATTTATTTTACTATATATTTATTTATTTATGGTTATGAAAAAAATTTATTTATTTATTTATTTAATTATTTTGTGTTAATATTACATTTGACAATATCAATTTAACGAAAGCTCCGAAGCGTGACTATATTATTACCCGAAGAGACAAACTTTGAAGGCTTTAAAAAACGATTATATTATTGCCTAAAGAACAAATTTTTGAGGTTCTAGAAGAGCGAATATATTATTACTTGAAGAGATAACTTTTAAAAGGTTTAGAAGAGTCGATATATTATTATTTGAAGTGACATAATTTAAACACTCCAAAAGAGCAAATATGTTATTATCTCGAAAAGATAAATTTTATTATAAATGATGTACTATTCTCTTCAAAGTCTCATAAAAATTTATTGAGTTTCAAAGATATTCATCTAAATTGATATCATATCAAGATAGCAAATGTGAATACTTATATATTATAATCATTATACCCGATAGAAAATATGTATTAAAAAATTTTACCTGCTTTCTCTTTTGATCTTTATTACAAACACTTAAATGATTAAAACAAATATTATAGTAAACCAAAATTTTACTAATTCAAATACTTTTATTATGTAGCATGACCGGTTATATTATCCTAGGTCTTTCATGATGCGAAAAAATTATTAAAAATTTATATGGATATCCATTGAAGAGCAAGAACTTCAATTAAATGAATTTTTAAATTTCGCATGTTGTCAAGGCAAATTGATGATTAAGTCATCATCAAGTAAAATTGAGATTGAATCTCTAGTATCTTTAGAACGTATTCAAAGTGATATATGTGGATCAATTCATCTATCATGTGGACCATTTAAATATTTTATGATTTTAATAAATGCATCCACAAGATGGTCACATATATGCATATTATCCGTTTAAAACCCGACATTTTCGAGATTGCTAGCAAATAATTTGATTTCGAGCATAATTTTTAGATCATGACATTAAAACAAGTCACTTTGATAATGCTATTGAATTTATTTCTCAACTATTAAATTATTAGTGATTGGCTATTAGAATAAAGGTTGAACATCTCGTTGCTCATATTCATACTCGGAAAGATTTAGTAAAATTATTTATCAAAATGCTCCATTTGATAGCTAAATCATTATTTAAAAATAAAACTTCATATTTACGTTTGGGGACATGCAATTTTACATGCAGTAACACTTATTCATATCGGACCCATAAGTTATCGAAATTCTCTCCTTTTCAATTAATTTATGGTCATGAGCCAAATATTTCTTATTTAAGAATTTTTTGGCATTACGAGTGTATATTCGTAGTGCTCCTCCATAATGAACTAAAATGAGCACTTAAAGAAGATTAAAAATATATGTTGGATTTGAATCCTTTTTGATAATTAAATATCTTGAACCATGAATAAGAGATAATTTTACAACTCGATTTATCGATTATCATTTTGATGAAATAGTTTTTCAATATTAGAGGGAGAGAATAAAAAAAATAAGCGAGTTGAAAATATTAAAAAAAGAGATTACATGGAGTAATCTATCTTTATATTAACTCGATACAAAACAATATGGACGAGACAACTCCATTTTATCCCTTATTTCTTTTCATTTCTTTCTCACCCAAAAACTCTCTCTACTTCCTCCTATTTTCCTCCTCTAATTTTATGCTAAAATTTTTCCCAAATAAACCAAAAATTCAAGAAAGCAAGATGATTAAAATGAAATTTAGCTAGATTAAAGCCCGGGAGGCTTGGAGAGTTGTAGGATTGAAGTTAGGGTTTGAAAACCCATTTGTCAAAAGTGAGATTTTTTTCATTTAATTTTAAAATTGAGATGATTATATATGTTTATTGATTATTTTAAAGTTGTTTTGATTGAGTTTGTTGTTTGAATAAGAATTGAGTTAAGTTAGGACTAGAAGTTGAATTAAATTTGAGAATTTGATGATTTAACAATTAATTATGCTTATTGATATTTGAAATGAGATAATGGTATTATGAAATTGATTATTGGATTATGAGTTTGAGAAACCCCTAAGTTGGTTCGAGATGATAAATTGTAGAGGTAAATTGTTGGAAAACTTGAATTGAAAATTAATTATGAATTGTCGAGACAAGTTGTGTTAAATATTGAATGGGATGTTGATGATGGATTGTAGAAATAAGATGTGTGAAAATTGAATATAACTGATGATGGATAATTGGTTGTAATAAAGTGTAAATTGGATTGTTAGAGAAAGATTATGGAATGAACTTGGGATATAGTTGTTGGGCAATTGTTTAGAATTGATTGAAAGAGTAAAAGTTTAATTAAAAATCCTTAATCTGAGTCTTTTGGATAAATTTCATTCTTGAAATTTATCTTATATTCTAATTTCTAAAACAATTCATTTACTTCCAAATTATTCTTTGACATATGATATTAATGATTATTCGATCATTTTGTATCACTAGATTTTTCAAAACAGATGACTCCATCTCGACGAACCTTGACTTCATTCAATCATTCAATTATACTTGTGAGTGGATAGTGTATAGCATAACATGTTTTTAAGTTCTTTTGATATTTCTATTATGTATCATTGATTTAAATATGTCTTAATCACATCCATTATAAATTAGATGTGAACGGACTCTTTTTGTAATTTGAAATGATTTGACATCGAAATGATTTAATATGATTTTGAATAAGATTTGATTATGCATTTTGAATAAGAATTTCATTTAAAGTTTGATTTAATTATATATATATATAATTATGTGTTTGACTAAGATTCTTGATCATGATTTTATTAGTATAATTTAAGTAAGTATTTGATTTATAATTTTGAATATGAATTTGTATTTGAGCTTAGATTATGAGTGTGAGATTTGATATTGAATTGCATTATCAAATTTGATTTTGAGCATGAATTGTATATGAATATGTGGTTTTGATTTTTAGAATATATGTGAGATTATTTGATTTTCTATTTGATTGATTACCTTGGGAGTACCTAACTATGTAAGGCATAGCATGTGAGCTCACCGATATGAAAATACTCCAATTAGCGGAAGAGATGTAGTGTTAGCCTTTGTGTCGGCCAAGACACGGTATACCTAGCTGCAAAAGGCATAGCCTTTGGATGTTCGCATCTAATTATTTGATATGATTTGATCATCGGGTGTAGATTTTAAATACTTGATATGATTTAATTGATTATATGTCTTTCAATATGAGATTTCAATTATAAGTTTGAATGACTTGAAATATGAGATGTGATTTAATATTTAAATATGTATTTGATTTTGGGAAATATGCATGCTATCTTGAGCGAGTTTAAATTATCATCCGTTAGTCCGTTTTCCTTCCTTACTTATATTATATAATATCTACTCATTGAATTATTGTTTGCTCACATCTTATTATTTTAGTTTTATAGGGTTTGTGAGATTGTCTTTTTATTTTCTCAAAACCGTTGTCTTGAAGTCAACACATTGATATTGTGACTTATTAATTTATATTATTTTGAATTGTATTTTTAGATTGTTTTAAACTCTAGAAGCTCCGTAGTTATATTGTGAAAAGTGTGTTAGATTTTTAATTTATGTTGGATATGTATAAGTATTGTGATTTGAATGTGATATTGACTACTTAGGTTATTTATTGTGGAAATATAAAGTGAGATGGAATGAAGAAGTATTGATTGAATTAGGATATGATATTATGAGTTGGATATGATAAGATATCTTGGTTACTACATATTTGATCATTATGATTTAGGTATTCGAGATTTACTTGAGTCGAGATAGGTCTCACGACTTTTTCAATTCTCAATCGATCATGGCCCACTTCGAAGGTTATAATAGTGTGTCCTCATAATGAGGTTGCTACTCAATTTTAATTTATAAAAATTTCTTTATATAAAGTCCAATTATGTATCAATTTACATGTCATGATTTATGAGTTGATTATTGGGTTTTTTTTTTAAACAATCCTAAATAAGGTGATTTGAAAATTAAAAAATGACCCAATTTTTCATCTAAAATGTCATTGAAGCTTCAAAGTCCAATTGAAAGATGGAAGTTAGTGCTTAAATCTCATTTGTAAATTAAATAACCATGCCCAAAAGATATAACATAAAAACAAAAACAAATTTGGATCAAAATTCACTTACCAAACTCCGGAATAATAATTAACAATCCATTGTAGAAAACTCAAATAATATGAATATAGGCCTTGAGCCATATTATTTTTTCATGCCATTTAAAATTAATGAAATTAGATGTAAAGTATAATATTAATTTTTAGAGTTAGATACGTAAGATGGTAAAATAAACGGCACCGACTAACCCAATTAATATCAAGTCCTAAACTTACATATCTAAATTAATCTAAACCGACAACAAATAAACAACAACAAATAAACAATCACTTTAAGTGCAAAAAAACTTATGCAAATTAGATATGCAAAAAACATATATCAAGTAGGGATGATCACAAAAAAATTAAAATAGTTAATTAGTCTCGATAAGATTCTTAGCCTGTTGATTTATATTGACTTATTTTATTTTTTTGTTATAATAAAAAAGGACTAGCCTATTGCCAGCATTATCGTTGAACAAAAATTCTTTATGAACGTTTTATAAAAAATTGATATTTATATAATATTACTTAGCTCAAATTGTATGCAGATCAAGTCTTTATTTGATCACATACAGATCAAGTTTGAGTAAAAAAAAAATATATATATATATATATCATATAAAAAAATAACAAATACCCCAAGTACTATAATATTCAATTAAGCCCAATATTAAAAATGAAGAGTCAATTAATAATCCAATTGTATTAATCACATAAAAAATGACAAAACTAAGCTTATCATGCAATCTGCCAAATGGCGATGTCAATTAACCTAAAAACAAAATATTATGGGTTTACAAACCTCAATTGGAAGTTTAGGGACTAATGACAATGAGAAATACGAATTCTAAGACTAAATCGAAGGAAAAGAATTCAAATTGGTGCAGCAGAACGGACGCGTGGGAGTACGTGTCACAGTCGTTAATTTACCAACTCGCGCGCGTGGGGATAGTACGATGGTTGGAATTGAGGCGGACTAGCGTCGCTGGCTTCGTCTCTTCAAGCGATCGTGGAGGCACGTGTGTACAGGAAAAGGTGGAAATTGCGAGGCTTTTGTTTGCTCTGTCCTTTCCTGTTTCGGTCCTAACAGATATTTTTAATTTTTTTATCACATTTGATAATAGTTAATTAATACTGCATATCAATATTCATTTTCCTTTTTAGTTATAAAATTTACTATTAACATATAAAATAGTACTTACTTAATCTTTATAATCTATACCATTCATTTTTATTAAAATATTTATTTATTATTTTTTATCACATTCCAACAAATAATAAAGCATAATTAAATAATACTTAATGGATATATTAAGAACACTAAACTCTTGCCGTGACGATATCTGGTTAAGATCACATGATAAGATTCGTTTTCCATCGTGTGATTGCAAATGAAATTGGATCCAAAATTTAAAACAACACCACCAAGTAATTTTATCAACTGAATAAAGAAAAATGTGTACCTTATTTTAGTTGACATAACTAATTGAATGGAAAACCAAATCCTCATTGCTACTCAGCTCACCTTCCTCGTATTAATCAATTAGCAAAGATTCCATCATGCAATCGAACAGAGAGAAGCGTACCTAGGTAAAATAGTAGAGGCAAATGCAAATACAGATAATCTCCAAGGACAACCTTGGGCGTAAAAAAGCTACATCTTAGTCCCTAGGGTTTAATGAAGCTAATTAATCAGTTGTTGTGATTGCGAAAACTATATATTGATCCCAAAAAATTATGACACGAATATAGTCTACTGCATAATATCATAGACCAAACATATAGAATTTTTACACATTCACCAAATTCATCTACATCATTTTGTGTTGAATGCATTCTTAATTATTTCATTCAATAATTATGACTCTGTCATTAAATGTGATTTACGTAATAAATGGTTTGAAAATTTTTAAAATTTATAATAATTTTATTGGTTTTATCCATGAATCTGCATAATAATTTCTCTACCAAACCCTTATATTTTCTAAATTTGTTTATAATTTAGTTTCTTCATACATTTCATCACATTCTTTTCCATTTTTTTTTATCGGTGAGATTATAAAGTTCGATTACTAAAAAGGAGATTTGGAAAGAAAAAATAAAGAATTGTTTGATATCATCTCCCTTTTCTAGTTTTTTTTTTATGAAAAAAAAATTTGAAAACCAAAAGCAGAAAATTGTGTGTTCTCATTTTCATATTAAAAAACATAGAAAATCAACAATCCTCTTCAAAACTTTTTAAAATTAAATAAAGTTGTTTTAAAAAGTTGTGTTAGTGGCTGTTGGTTTTGCTTTTTAGAAACAGAAAATGAAACCCTCAAATGATCCAAAACGACCGAATTGAGGATGATGAATTGTTGGTCAAAAAACTAATTAATTATTTTTCATACTATATAGATTAATTAATTAGTTTTGTTAAACTACAAGGACTGAATTATGATTAACTCTCGATAACGAAATGGATAGATGGATGCCCATTACCTAAAAGGAAATAAAACAATGATTCGTTATTGGAGTCCCGGACACAGTTCCCTTCCGCTCCGCTATCGCAACTGTCTTTATTTATTCCAAACAGTGCTTGTTTTTTACATAAACGGTCCTTTTTTCTTCTTCTTCTCACAATAACAAGTTGGACAAAAACCATAACTGCAACCCTGTGGTTCTTACAAGAAAGACAGAGAAGAAATGGAAGGTGGTGTTAAATTGGACAGATGGGGTTACGAGGTTAACACTTCCTCAGATGCTTGCATCTCTGCCATCAACTCTTATTACCATCAGGTCTGTCTTCTTTTCTCTATCTCCATTTATTAATTGGAATGACAGAGAGAGAGAGAGTCTTTTTTTTTTTTTCAAGTTGGTGTTGATTTTTTGGTTAAATGAAGGTTCTTAGTTATGGAAGAGAGAGGCCTGTGATTTTGGAAGCAACTCTTCATGACAAAGACTGCGTATTAGCCAATATTTTGGCAGCTCATTACCTCTGCTCCTCTCCGAATCCTTCCCGAGCGTCTTCCCATATCCAGGCTGCAAACTCTCGACTTGTAAGTGTTTTGCCTTTTGTTTCTACGGCCTTTGTCTTTTGATGTGATGTTTCACCAGTCAAATTTCTTATAACAGGAAGAAGCCACCCCTTATGAGAAAGCTGTTTTTGATGCTCTTAATTCTCTGATTTGTGAGAATAGAGATGACGATGCTGCTCTTCAATCTCATTCTAAGGTAGGCCTACCCTTTTAGTCCATCCTTAAAACTAATCTGTTTGTTCATTTTGGCAATGAGAGAAAATCCCCAATCTTCCTTAATGCCTTAAAAACAGGGCCATTTTTATATTTATTTTAGTTTAATCAAAATTATAATGGTAATTGAACATTCAGTAGTATGCCTTAAAAGGATTTATATGGGCCTTAATCATACAAGCTCTAATTCCATTTGATGTATTTCTTTACTTACAGCTCCTCAATGATTTCCCAAAAGATCTAGTTTCTCTTAAAAGAGCTCAAGTTTTATGCTTCTACATGGGTAGACCTGACCTGTCCCTGGAACTTGTGCAAAAGGTTCATTTCTGTCCCCAGATCACAAGGTATATTTTGTTATCAACCCACCCGGGGTTAACAAGACTTTTGATTTCAATAGGTTCTACCCAAAAACCAACAAGAAGATTATATATATGGCATGCTTGCTTTTCCATTACTAGAGCTGGGCCGAATGGCTGATGCCGAGGAAGCAGCAAGGAAGGGATATGAGATCAACAAGCAAGATTACTGGACGCAACATGCTGTGAGTTCTCATCAACTTAGTATGCTTCAGTACAAGTACATAATATCTTGCCTTTTATGTTTTTTCCACGATGATTGGACATGTTATTTTGCTTGTCCTTGTCATGGATAAATTTTAACTGATCATGTAAGAGACAGATCAGGAGTACGAGTTTGGTTTGGAGTGACTGAAAATATATTTGTAAAAGCAAGAGCTAGAATAGACCATCCGTTTGAGTGTCAATTCTTGTGCAGAAATGTCATGTCCTTCAGTATCATTGCCGTTTCAAAGAAGCAGTAGACTTCATGGAAGAATGCTCATCTTCATGGAGTTCTTGCTCATCATTTATGTATGTATATAATGTTATGTTAATGAGATGCTATATGTTATTATAAATTTCTCGATGACTTTCTTTGATGCCTGAGGTGGCTTAATTGTTTCAACCTACAGGCTGACACATAATTGGTGGCATGTAGCTCTTTGTTACTTGGAAGGTCATGCTTCGGTGAGAAAAGTCTTAGAAGTTTACGACCTTCATATCTGGAAGGAGTTGGAAAAAGCTGATGCGGTGCATCCAGAAGTATGCTATTCTGCTATCTGTTAAGGTTTACCCTCATTTTGTGCGTAAGGTGTCTTACTTTTATTGTCCATTCAGGTGTACTTGAACGCTCTGGGTTTGTTGTTGCGTTTGTATGTAAGGGGTGAGCTTGGCATCTTTGAGGACCGTCTGAAGACCTTAGCTTCCTGCATAACAGATCAAGTAAGTTGTACGTGTTTTAGTGTAAGAACCTTATAAAAGTAACTAGCCAATCAATGAGTGATTGCTTACAATTGGATTTGTTGGAATATAATACTCTTGGGGAAACATTGCAAAACATATCTGAATGAGCATCTCTACTTTACTCTATTTGAGAGATCATAAAAGTCATCGTGAAATTTTCTGTGAAGGCTGCTTTCCAGATTTTTGTGTTCTTGCACAATACCCTGAGTACCGTGAAACAAAAAGCTGAATTTAGTAGCTCACAATCTTCTATTGTTAGAACTTCATTATAATAGACCAACCCCATAATTATAATCATAATAACTGAAATAAACAACATGAAAAATCAATTGTGATAGAAAGAGGTTAAGTTTCAGAAATCAAACTGTCAAAGCATGCAAATTGTGCTCTTCTTATGGAAAAAGAACCCTTTACTTTGGATTTGACAGTTTTCTCTCCTAGATATATGAATCCTTACAGATTTTCTGGACAATTAGCTGTTTCTTCCGTGTTGGATATGCTGACACAAATGGGTCCTGGATTGTGCTTCAGCTGCCAGCACCTTGCAGGCTGTTTGTTTTGTTTTTCTGTTATCTTGTTTGTGCATACTGTTTATCAAACATATAATACAAGATTTAGGAGCTTGCATCTACATGCCAAAGGAATGGATGGAACAAAATTTCTTTCAACTCACCTCAGGCAAGATGTTCGCAATGGTTGGAGACTTTAATCGAAGCACTAACTTCAAATGAGAAATTTTAGATGCATTTTCCATGCTTTCACAAGCAATTATGTTTAAATATCATCGGTATGCATATGTGCATGTGCTTTTCAAGTTATTTTGTGCGTGTTATCTAATCATTCTGTGACACTTCTATGCGTGTTATCATATCTAGACCAACTGGTATTTAGAATGGCACCTTAATGTGTTGATATTATGGGCCTTGGCTAAAACTGGTGAACCTTCAAAAGCAGAAGATTTACTTGAGGTCTTGAAATCAAGGTAGAAGCCTTTCTTTGGTATCTTTATACATTTCTATGCATGACCCTACATTTAATTTATTGTAATTTCATTATCTTTTTGCAGAATGTATAAGATGAGCAAGAAGAAGCAACAAAGAATGCAGAAAGTGATTCTGGTTTGTTCTAATTGCTGCTTCCCGTACCATTTTTTCTCTCCATTTATGCACTTTCATGTTAGTAGCCAACCCCCATCCTGGACGGGTATGGATGTTGACCATAATTAGAATATATAACCTTTTAAGAAATGATAAGAAAATTGTAACAATTGTGAGTTGGGCTCGTATTTTGCTCTCTCACCCTCACACAACTTCCTTTGGTTCTATCTTAACACGGTAGTTACTTTTCATAAATCTGTTGCTATTGCTTTCTTCAGATGCTATTTGAAAGGTGTTGTTGACATACAAGAATTCCTTTTTCCCTTTTCACAGCTTGCAGAAGCCCTATTCGAGTATGGAAGGGGCAATGACAAGCAGGCATTAGATTTACTTGGTTCAGATTTTGATGCCAAAGATTGTAAGGTATTATTATCAAGTTGATTCACGAGTTTTACTCAGCTGTATCGACATATATTTGAATTAGAAGATATGAATTTTACATTCCTTTGTGCTAGATGCTTGGGGCATCAGATGAACAACTTGATGTATTTAACGAAGTCTGGTACAGTATGTTGCTAAATACTGGACAAGCTGCCAAGGGTACGTACATTTGGCATCTCCTATATCTGCAATTTAACTTCATGATGGTTCTTCTGACTTCTTGCTTGAATTGTAGCAATTGAAGTAATGGAGAAGGGGATCAAGAAGAGGGAAGGAGCCCCATTCATGTGGCGCTTACTGGTATAGCTCTGACTTGTATGCATAATAGTGTTTTTTGGATAAAAATGATATGGATGGGTAACTATTTCATGACGTATTTCAGGAAAGAGGCTATGCAATGACTGGCAGTCAGGAAGCAACAGTTGCTGGTGAGAAGGCTAGAGCCTTAGAAGCTGCATATTTCGTATAGCTGGCATCAAAGATGGATTGATCCAGGACCTATGTCTTTGCACATCTTGTTACATACATGAATTCTACTCCCATGTAGACTTGCTTCCTAATTGTGTGAATCACAGATGAAAAACAATTCACTCCTGTAAGCATCCCAGCTGCCCTTTATTTACATCCTATGATCCCATCTCAATCAAGGGAGAATAATATTAAAGGAAAAAGTTAATCAATGAGTATGTGTCGGAAGGCTATGAACTAGACAAAGTAAGCGATAATTGCATTATAAGTACACTATTTTTTTTTAATTAAATATATAAATTTTAATTTTTTTTAAGGTTGAGTACACTAATTTTTTAAAAATTATTAATTAAGTATTTTCGTTTATTTTTGATTAATTAATAGCGTATCCATTAATATCAGAATATAAAATTACAATTTTGTATTTTTTTTCAATTGAATACATAGATTAAAATTTTTTTATTCGAATATATCGATTTTTTTAAAATTATTAACCAAGTATTTTTGTCAATTTTTTGTTAATTAATGATGTGCCAATTCAATTTAAAATATTAAATTACAATTTTAGTATCTTTTTTTTGGAAGAAATTTTTTCTAAATGCTGACAAGTAATGAATCTTTTTTATGAAAAATTGTGTTTTTTTTTTAATTTTTAAATGTAAATCTAATTGAGTTTTTTTTTTTAATAGAAATTCTAACCAAGGTTAGTACAAAATTTAATAACTAAAATTTTAAAATTTTGTCAAATTTGAAATGATAGATTAATTTGAGGGAAAAAGTTTCATGTAACAGAAAAAAGATAATTGTAATTTGATATTTTAAAAATAATAGATATGTCATTAGTTAATAAAAAAAAAAAATTCACACTAGTAGTTTTAAAAAATCATTTTCATTGAAGGAAAAAAAAGATATATTTGTATCGAGAAATAAAAGTACTTGATAATGGTTAAAAAAAAAAACCAATTTGCTTAAAAAAAAAAATTAAAAACCATATATTCCATTGAAAAAAAGGTAAAAAAAAAGTTGGTGTGTTTGTGTTGCAATTATTCTAATGAAGTACCATAAAAAGCAGTGTGCAGAGGTGCTTTTTTTTTTTTTTTTTTCCTAGTATGTAAAATAAAAAATAATGCTTATCAGACAGAGGTGCTTGATGGGTATTCTTTTGATACTGATGGGATAATCATGGAGCATTTTTCCAGTCATATCATATATTATTATAGGCTGACAATAGTTGAGAAAGGTCCAAAAGAAAAGGCAAAAAGATAAACTGAAGCATTAAAGAAGAAGATTGCTTGTGAAGTCACCACTGTTATGACCGTGAAGCTCCATTTGACGATTGGAAGCGGGAGTCCTATAGGTTTCTCTGAGAGAAAAATTTGTCATCCGAAATGCATAACAGTTTTATATTAGCAAAAGTTAAATGTATTTTGCAGTAGTAAAATTCCAAGTCCAATTCTAAAAACAGTAAGAAGGAACCTGAGGACGGAAGTGCACACAACACACTCCAATTGGGTGGTTGACACGTGCTGTTGTTGCCTCTGTAAAATGACCTTCAGCAATTGGGTGGTTGGTTGTTCATGGAAAATTTGTTCAGAACAGAGCCAAAGATGGATGCGCTTGCGGGTTGCAAGTTGCAAAAATTCTAGTATCAGTTGCTACATCGTACACCTTCAACTTATACAAAACGGCAAGTTCCCTCCCTCTTCTTATTTGCTGTGATGTGAGAAATTGACGATTGAAGATTTGGATAATAAACTGTAAAGACAACTAACTGCTTACAAGGCTTGCATGGACATCTTCTCTTCAACATAAACTAGTAAAAGTTTGTGTAATCAAACAAAACATGAACAATTATAATCTACCTGTGACTAGCAGTCAGGTCAATCAAAAGTCTCAAACTACACGAATCAACAACTGATCTCCTCACAACATAATCAACCTTCATCCATGTCAGCTCCTTCTTGTTATTATCTAGTGCATGAGGACCGTCCACCAGATGATGCGGACATGTTAAGATGGTCCGGATTCCGGTCGTGACAATTTACTTGCGCCAATCGTTCGGCTCCGAATCCGATTGAGCTCCTCCACAACCTCCCTTGAATCTGGCCTATCATCCTTGTCCGCGGCCACGCACCTGAAGGCCAGCTCAGCCATGGATTCGACACCTTCCACAGACTCCCCATCAACGCCTAAACAAGGGTCCACGACCTGACGAAGCAGACCCATTTGGATTTTGGATACTACAAGATCAGCCAAAGCCATCTCCCTCCTATCCCTACTCTGGTCCACCGCCCTCAAGCCTGAAACCAGCTCAAACAAAACCACTCCAAAGCTGTAGACATCACTCTTCTCTGTTAACCGGAACGACCGGTGGTAATCCGGGTCCAAGTACCCAGGAGTGCCTTGAGGCCCGGTACAAACATACCCAGATGAAGATGAAGATGTTTCAGGCAAGACTAAAAGCCTTGAAAGCCCAAAATCACCCACTTTGATTCTCATATCTTTCTCTATAAAAATATTGGATGATGTTATATCTCTGTGAACAATTGGTGGTTTAACCGAGAAGTGCAAGTACTCTATAGCTAAAGCCGTTTGCAATGCGATATCAAGCCTCACCTGCCACGTTAAAGACCTTTTACGGTGCAAGTTGTTTGGGCCATGAAGGTGGTCAGCGAGAGTGCCGTTGGGTACATAGTCATACACCAGAAGTAATCCTCTAGGATCACTGCAATACCCATGAAGTTTAACTAGATTTGAGTGCTTTATTGAAGATAATATCAAGATTTCGTTACAGAATGACTTAGTTGAGAATGCTCTGCCAGCGCCTGCAGCTTGGTGATGGTTGTGGAGGTATTTAACAGCAACTATTCTGGCATCAAAGAGCTGGCCTAAAAACACAGAACCAAACCCTCCATCTCCAATTTTACGCTTGGGGTCAAACCTGTTAGTTGAGGATTCGAGCTCCTCGAAAGTGAACGCAGGTGGGAGAAGATTAGCAGAGCGGTGGCGTTTAAGGAACAGTGTCGTTGGGTCATCTTCTGTTGCCGACGATTTCAACCGCCTATACCTAAAAACAATTCCAAAAACCAACATGACAATTACAAGACATAACACTGCGGAGATGGAGCACAAAATGGCGACTCGGTTTGGGTCATCTTGGTGAATCCATGGAGGTGAAAGCCGAGTTCTGGACTGAATACAAATGAAATTCTTTTCTGGGTCTGAGGAATTGAAGCCACAGATTCCTTTCTTGGATTTGCATTCCCTGCAGCTGGAGAAGTAAGAATCACGAGACGCATCGTACTCGACTTGGAACCCGATTTTCAAGTAATCGTGAAGATACTCTAAAATGTCCGTTTGGCATCCCTGCTGTTGGTGAGTATGAGGAGTACTAGATCCACAGTCGTGGAGGAGGTTAAGTGGGTTCTTGATGAGCTTGCACTCCCAATGACAATGGCTGCAGTTCGGGAGATTTGGTGGGGAACAAGAGCGTAGAACGGAAAGGCGAGAACAATAAGAGTCGGAGACTCGAAATGGTGAACCGGAGAGATTGATGGAGTGGGCAGGAATAGAAGAGAGATCACTAGAGCAAGTGGTGGCAGGACTTATCGCTGTTGAGGATGTTAAAGAGGAGAGTTGAGGAGACAGAAGGAGAGAGGAGGAGTTGGGGTCGAAGTGAAGAAGAGCAAAGGAAATGTTATTAATGGAGATAATGGAATGAGGGGAAGAGCATTTTATTTGAAAGAAAGGGTGACCACAGCCGGGTGATAAAGAGAAGGGAAAAGGGGGAGTATTGGATGTGAATGGAGGGCATGAAGATGAAGAAGATCTCAGGGATGTGTCTTGCTTTGAGCTACATTCATGGATCAGAGCATCTACTGAAATACTGTTATTGATGCAATAAAAAGAACAAATCAGCATCAAGATGGAAAGAAAAAGAAAGGAATGATGGGTTTGTTGAGGCATTGGTTTGGTGGAGACGATGATAAAAAAGGAGAGAGATTTAGGGATAGACAGATTCTTGATCTAAACTAAAGCTTGGTTGAGATTGCTGAGGTGCCTTGGTTCTTGGAGGAGATGAAATAGTGATGAAGAAAGTGGGGTATCGAGGGTATCGAGGCTCGAGAGAAGTGAAGGAAGGTCACGTGAAGAGAAGTAGAGTGAAGACAAAAGAATAGAAAGGAAAAGGATTGCAAGTGCAATATTGTCGCAGAAGGTGAAGGATGTGGAAATATCTTATACATGTCCTTCGAGTTGGCTTTTTAGCGTTTCTGCTTCCTCAATGTGCTTTCGGAATTTTTCATCACTTTCGTTCTCGTGGGTAGGTGACCCAGTGATGACCTTGGACTCGAGTGCTCTAATTAATTTAAATAATTGCCATTTTATTGGTGATATTACAACTAAGAATACATTTAGACTGGGTATTTATGAGATGGACTAGCAAGTTATATTTTTGCAATATTAAGGGTTTGTTCAAATTTGGTTAAAATTGTTTTTTGGGTTAAAAAAAAAAACTTAAAATTGATATCACTTGAGTTAATGCATTTTGATAGACATGTTTATTTGTATTTAAAACACAATACCAAACATGTTTAATTGTATTGATCACCTTATGAAATATATTTTAAATTTTAAATGAATTAAGCTTTAGTTCAGCAAAATAAATAAATAGATTCCAAATGAAATTAATATATTATTAATTCTTAAATTTACATTATTGATAACTTTTCAATTTGTCACGTGTATTGGCTATCGAGAATAAAAAATTCTTAATTACATTATCTTAGATTTTGACTAGTCGTCAATCTACTTGTCTAACAAAATTAAGATACTTGGCTCACGTTTATGGTGAGGATTTTTTAATGGTCATGGAGCGTGAAGATAGTTCTCTTTGCAAAGTATATCTACAAAATAAATCTCTCAATTGAGTGAAGGACCTTTTAACGCTCGAGTTAGTAGCCAAAAGATGATGAATTGTCCCGAGAAAGCTCTTTTGTACTAATATTTACTAGTTTGTGGGTGACTTAATAGAAAAAAGAGAATTGTACGAGATGAAAAACCTATGTAAAGAGTATTTTTATAACCAACGATAGAGTTTCTTGTGTATAAGTAATTAGAACCAACTCGCTTTACTTATGGTGGTTCTTACCTTTATGTAGACAACTATAAGAGCAACTTGCATGTTGAAAAGGATATAAGTGTCGTTTTTTAGAGTTAGTGAAAGAATCGATAAGTATTGATACTCTGCTATCAATGTATTTGATTTTGCAATTATGTTAATGCGATCATGATGAGAGATGATATGATTAGTATCTTCATTATATATTTTCATTAAATACTTTATCTCCAGATTATAGTAAATGAGTAAATTGTCTTCTTTTTCGAACTAGAGCGCTACTAGGACATAAGAATTTCAAAGCTCTTTTAGAGAGTGGACCTCCTAAGAGGAGTATACGTTCTTTGGGAGACTTTGGTCATGCTTACTATGTTAGTTCCTCTTGGTGAGCTATGGGCTTGAATCGGACCTAATGGGTTTTAGAGTTACGAGCTTCAAGCCTTTTTTTTTTTACGTTGTACTAGGGAAAAACTCCCTATCATTAATCACCCCATCATCTTGGCTAGCTCGCTTAGCCCAAAGTTTAAAACCATTAGTTGAGGCATTTCAAGGGATGCATTTCTTTGCCAAGAAAAATTGTTTGTGTTCTTTCTATTGACTTAACTTGGTCTTAGTCATTCAATAATTCTTTACTTCTAAGCCTGTGTGTTTCAAATTCAATGACTTGAGTGAGTAAAAGGTAATCATCCTCACATTTGGTGCCTTTATTGTTGTAAGTGGTTGTGTCTTCTTATGTTTTTCAATAGAGTAATGATTACTCCTATTAAGAGTTGGCCGTCTAATTTACCGTCTTATATGGTATTGCCATGTTAGAGTGAGGTTATTTCTTGGATTTAATGTGTCATAATTCAAAGAGAATGCTCTTTTTTTTGCCTATATATATGCTTTGTTGGTTTAATCACATAAAACATCCCTCTACTTTGGCATTTTCTTAATGTGGCCCCTTTATTTTTTTTCTTATTTATCACCTACTTTTTAATTTTTCTTAATATGGCCCCTTTCACTGAAATTCGATGATTCTTCGGATTGGTAATAATAGATGGCAAAAAATTACCACATGGCGTGACACATCTAATTAAAAATGGCAACGTGGCTTAAAAGTTTTACATGTAAAATCTAAAAAAAAATGTTTTTATTTTTTCTCCTACCTTTCCCCCTCTCTCTTTTCTATTTCGAGTAACCAAATCTCCCTAAGTTATTCTAGTCCTAGTATTGGGTTTGCCCTCTATGGTTAGATGATAAAAGCTGGTTCCTCCAATCATGTTTTCATCCAAACTACTCCGTTAGAACATGTATGGGTCTCGTCACTATATTGTCGATATTTGCAAAGTGTTTGAGAAGATGCATGTCAAAGATGTGATCGCTTGGAATTCCATTTTAGATGCATATGCTTCTACTAATCGGATGGATGAAGCACTCAATGTGTTCAATTCCATGCCTTCGAAAGACTTCTCATCTTTCACTATCATGATTTTTTAGTACTCAAGCATCGAAAAGATAGTGTCTACAAAAAGTATCTTTAATAACATGACGGAGAAAGATATTTATCTCTTGGAACTCAATGTTACTAGCATATATCAAAGGGGGAGATATGGAAAGAGCTTGTGATTTGTTTAGAAAAATGCCCGGATGCCCTAGGTTTTTGAAAATTATAGATGCAGAGCATGTATGGGGCTCTTGTCGTATTTATTGATATCAAGGATATTGCCTTTGAAAAAACCAAATGCTCGAGTTTACTCTTTCCCTTTCTCCTATTCAATTTAAAAAAACAACACCTCTCTTATTGTCCCCATATGCTCAACATCATCTTCATCATCAACAACAACGACAACATCCAAGTATTGTTGCTTTTACTAAGATTACTTAACTATAGCGAGCAACAAACACCTATGATAAAGGTTTAATTGTAAAGAATGTTGCCTCATCCATTAAATAATTATTCAAGCAAGGACGCAACGAGTTGTTGGATTGAATTTTTTTGACAATTAGAAAACACAATAAAGATAAAGACATTCTTAGGTTTGCTCTTTCATAATTGTGTCTTCCTTTGAATGAGAAATTTACGTTAGATATGCTTGCTTACGGTAATGATAGAAAGAAGATTTATTTTTATGTTAAATTCTTTGATTGGGCTAGTCATAAAGGAGGTTTTTTTCATATTAGTGCTATTTTCCATGATTTTTTTAAGATCCGGTCAAAATGCGAAGGGATAAGTGTGATGCTTGATTTCTTAGATAGTTATAGTGGGACATAAAATCTTTATTTTCCTCATAACATTAGATTTTATACTATTTTAGTGATGGGTTATGCTTGTTACCAATAAGCTCGATGATGCACTTCAACGTTTGTAGAATGCATTTCCAAGTTCTTGATTTGGATGCTTTCTCTTATTATGTGCTTCTTAATTCTTTGATTCACTAAAGTTCTCTTGAGGATTTTGAGATTATCTTTAAGTAGATATCATTAGTGGCAATGGAGCTTGGTTAAAAAATCTTATTCACACTAGAGACATTGAAGTAGCTTCCAAATTCTTAAAGAGCAAAAAGTCCTTAAAAGGCTATGTTTCGGACATTTTGAGGTGTAATTTCTTGCTTTTCGGGTTTTTAAAGGATAATCATTTTAGGGATGCTTGTGATTTGCTAATTAAGATAAGGAGAATCAGCTTTATATCGACATTGTCACCATGAATGTTGTATTATGTTTCTTTTGCAAAGCTAGAATGCTAGAGGTTACATATGAGTTGCGTGAGGATTAGGGTTTTCCTAAGGAAAATGCGATAAACGTTGATTGATCAATCGATTGCAAGAGGAGAGAGAAAAATCAAAGGATTTTTATATTTTTTTAGATTCCGCATATAATATATTTTTTCCACGTGGTAAGTTTTATCTTATGTGTCACGTCATATCAAAATTTTAATCTAATGTGTCAAGCCACATGGTAATATTTTTATCATCTATCATCATTACCTAGAATAATCATCGAATTTTAGTAAAAAGGCTACATTAAGAAAAATTAAAGAGTAGAGGAGGTGATGAATAAGAAAAAAAAATAAAGAGGCCTCGTTAAGTAGAGGGACATTTTATGTAATTAAACTATACTTTGTTACTAGAGTTTCATTTTACTTCTACGAGCTTCGGACTTTACTATGAAAATTTTTTGACGAGTCATTTGATATTTCTTTAACTTTTTTTTTAAAAAAAAATTTTTGTTTGTCTTTTTTTTATTATCGTGTGTACTATTTTAAGAGGATTTTTTTTTTTTTGGTAAGGTGCTTCGCATTCAAATCTACATTTATGAGGTAATTTTTGTTGTTTTCTCTCTTTTTTTTCCTTTTTATATGAAAAAATAATTTTATTAAAGAGAGTTAGAGATACATTTGAGGTTGTGTTCGATGGAGTTGTGAGAGGAGGCGTCAATTCTAGTGTAGGCGAGTCTTTTCCTCCTCGAGATGAGTATTCTTTCACTATAGGAGGCTCACATTATATGTCTAGTAAAAGACTAGCTACCATTGTTCCTTTTCGAGGAGAGAATTTTCTTTATATTCTAACCAACCTTAAACATAGGATGAATAAACCTTTTCTAGCATGGTTAAAGAAAACTTGAACATTGTTTTCCTAACACATATATTGGAGTATGGTCTTACATTTCCTTCTATTAGCTTTGTGGTTGAGGTTTTTTATTATTTTTACGTAAGTGTGAACCAAATTTAAGCAAATAGGTGGATTATTTTGGCTATTTTTGATCTTTTTCATTGAAGTCTTGGAGTGACCCTAACTCTTTGGCTTTTTAGATATTCTCATCATTTGACTTATAGAGATTGTGAGGTTAGAAAGAGGGCTTGAATATATAC